GTATGTTGATTTGGAGGTGTCAGTAGCAACAGTTAAGGAAGGAAGACTTACTAGATTTAATAGTGAATGGAGCGTGAACCTAGGTATCTAGAGGATGGATGTCCAATTTGAAATTTCCTGACTTTGGTTTGTGACTTTATTGCATATGGGGAAAATTTCGTACATTTGAATCACAAAATATTTCCTTAATAGTTATAAATATAAATATGCCTTGTTGTGTATAATTCGACATGATATTATTTATTGGATGATAATGTCTTCTCTGGTGTTTTAACATTTATTTATGTCTATTAAATCCAAGGAAGGTGAAATATTTAAGAGATCTTTTTGAAGGTTTAAGATTATAATTAATAGTTTCTAAAAATTGTATAACACTAGTTGGGGAATTACTATGATAAATTTGATTTTCCATTATTGGTGAAATTAGTTTTATAATAAATATAATTTTTTTATTATTTTTTTAAGGTAGATTTATTTTACATGTATATTGTTTTATAATAAACTTTTTATTAATTTTTAATATATTTTTTAAGGTAGTTTTTTTATATTTATTTTTACATGTATTTTGTTTTATAATAAATCTTATTATTAATTTTTAATATATTTTTTAAGGTAGTTTTTTTATGTTATTTTTTTTTACATGTTTTTGGTTTTATAATAAAAATCTTTTTATTACTTTTTTTAAAATATATTTTTCTAAAGTAGTTTTTTTTAAATATAATTCACATATATTTGGTTTTAAATCTTTTTATTAATTTTTTTTAAATATATTTTTGGAATTGCAATTCTATTTCAAATAGGTATTTTCTACTTCAAATTTAGAAATTTATTTAAATATTTCTTTCTCGTGCATTAATATTTATCCCGCGAATATTTAAAGTAAATTTTCCATCATTTTTAAGCCTGAAACACTAATGGATAACAATTTTATCAACTAAAAAATTCTAATTAACTTATCTACTAATAACTATTATTAGGGAAAACCAATAAGACAAGATTTTCTGAATAGAATTATTTCTGAGACTTCTTGTGATATAAGAAAAAAGAAACTGCAAAAAGCATGCCCGACAAAATGCAGATTTTGGGAACAAGCTTACAGCCTTTTTGGACCTAGAAGAACGCATTTTAATTGTCGATTAAGAAATATTGGAATAACCTGAACATATATTTCATCTGAAGGCTCACAACAAGTTGCAATTTTTCGAAAAAATGATCTGGATTTGATTGGGGTTATGATAATCGTGAAATTATTATATTACAACTTAGAAAACTAAGATATTATTGATCAAAAGTTTTACGAGATTTGTGTGATTGTTGAGGTAAAAACTAAATTATATGATTTCAAGATTCGCAAGCCTCGACTTGCACCCAGACTAACAAATCGTTCCAGTAATAATGTGGACTCAATTAGGGTTTACTATAACCGTTGTTATTCCACTTTTATATACATTATTCAAATCTATCAATAATTCGTGATTAATCAATTGGCTCTCTATCCAATTTACAAATACTATTATACTTAGATCCGTCTGAGGATTAAATATTTATATTGGAAAATTAAATATTTAGCATAATTATTTAAAGGATATAAATATATCAACCTAGTGGCCCCTACAAAGGGGGGGGGGGTCCGAAGCAACTGCTTCAGTAAATTTGAGTGGGGGTACTTTTTTAAAATTTTCTTTATTATTTAATTCTTTTACTGTTTTGTTACATCCATCATGATCAAGTGATTTCTGGTTTATAAATGTAATAATAAGACCCCCTTCCCCCAACTTAATATTTAATTTAATATATATTGACGGAAATTTTGCTCGATATTTAGTAAATTAGGTTGTTATCAGAGACTTCTTGTTCATAAATTATTTTTCCAATTTTAAAATATGCCTAAAAATATTAACCAAAAAAAATACAAATGCCTAATTAAAAATTGCAAATCGTATAATATAAGAAATGATTAGAAATTGGATTACTTATAGTATTAAAATGAATAAAGTTTTTTGCTTAACATGTCTCTTATTTGGAGGTCTACACACAAATCCAAAATGGGCATGTGAATGTCTAGATAAATGGCAGAATATTAATCGTGATATTATTCTAAATGAATCTTCACAGGCACATATGATGGCCGATTATGGAAGGCTTTTTCACAATAAAAATTCGATTTTAAAATTTATAACCCCCAGAAAGAATGTGTAGATAATAACCGTTCTATCATAAGATTTATAATAAGATGTTTAGATTATTTAATATCTCGTAACCAAGCCTTCTGGGGTAACAGGCAACAAGAAGGCAATATGATGGCCCTTATTAAGCTTATTGCATATTCTGAACCTGTACGTATATACAACAAAATGAAGAAAGAAAAAGGGATAAAAATAATAAGGGATTAAAAACGAAATTATATTCAAATCTATTATCATATAATAACATATATATTCTCATTGAAACCATGAAAAATATGGTTATAAAAAAAATTCAAAATGAGATTACATTTAACAGGTGCTTTTCAATCATAGTTGATGGCATATATGATGTTTCGAAATCAGAAGCAATAGATTTGATAGTAAAATATGTTGAAAATAGTGAGACTCCGAAGCCTGTTGAAAGACTGATTGACATATATTGTACGGGAAATACCACAGGTCTCGATATTAAGCATAATATAATATCCAAACTTGGCTCGATGAATTTACCCCTTTAATTTCCAGTTAGGCAAAGTTATTATGGCGCCTCAAACATGAGTGGAAGAATCAATGGTGTGTAGGCCTTGATTAGAACAACAGAGGCGCCAAAGGAAGCTTTTATTTGGTGTTATTGTCATCGATTAAATTTAATCATTGTTCAATTATGTCAATCAATTAAAGAACTTCGAAATGCTCTAGGAATACTAGATGAGATTTATATCTATTTTAATGGTGTAAAAAGATATGAGGTACTCAAAAAATGTCAGTGTAATGATCTGAAAAAATCGCAACGATTTCTACGTATCAAGAATACCACTCGGTAATAGTACCTTATTTATTTAGATTTAAAATGTTTTTTTATTTTTGCATTTTATTTATTTTATATTATATATTAATTTTTGAAATTTATGGGTGTCATAATATAATAATTATTTTTTCGAGGGGGGGGGGGAGGTACTTTTCAAGGGGGTACTTTTCAGGGGGGTATTCTGCTTCATTTGCTCAGAAAGTGTAGGGGCCACTGTATCAGCCTAATTAATTTCAGAATTTAAATCATGGTATGAAAGATTAATATCCTACACAAACCCATAGAAGCATTGCATAATTTAAAATACATTTTGAAGCTTTTCCAAATAAATTAAGATTACTGTATATTTTGTTAACAATACCAATTAGTACAAGGACCCTTTCTTTGTTACGGAATAAAAACTTATCTCAAAATTAAGACGTCAGAAAATCGATTGAATGAATTAACCCTGTGCTTGATGTATATAGAGATTTGATCCCCAGAAAAATTATCGCAATGGTATAGAAGATTAAATTCCCATTGTAAAAGCATAAGCTCACTAAACAAAAGGATATAAATTACTTTAACACAATATTTAAACCGTAAAAGATATTGTAATTTATCTTCCAGAGTAATCAAGGGGAAAGTTGAAATCCCATTCTCTCTTAGCAAATTTGCCAGATTTGGTAAATATAATTTTAAGATAATAAAAATTTGCCTTTATCCCCCAAAACTAAAGATGAGGATATGATGTCGTAAAAAATATAAAATTAATACTAAAGGTAACGACTATAAAGTAAAATTTGTGAATAGTTTTAACAAAAAAAATTAAAAATATAATCCGCTCAAAAACCCTGAAAGAGGAAGCCTACTAGCATTATTCAATAAAATTTATGCTAAAAAAAATTATTCAATCGAAAATCTCGGATAAGCATTTAATTTATTAAAAAAATACCTGTTAAAAATAAATTTAAAATCACCTTAAAAAAATATTTTAAAATATATCTAAAAACCCCCTTAGTAAAATATATATAAAAATATTTTAAAAAAATATCTAAAAATAAACGTAAAAAATTAAATACATGTAAAAATTAATATAAAAATGACCTTCTATAAAAAATATTTCTTTTTAAAAAAAACCCTCATGTAAAGAATAAATACAAATCCTGGAAAATAAATAAAATATCACATATCTACTCTACACTAGTGATCTTTGCATGCCTAATTCAAGCCCGGCCCGTATTTAAATATAAAAATTAATTCTTTTAAAATATTATAATTACTCAAAATAAAAGATATATGTCATAAAATCACATATTTTTATTTTACATAAAAAAATCAACATAAAATTGATAAATTTATATATTTCTAAGGCCCGATCCAGCCCGAATCCGATTTTTTTAAAAAAATTTCCGAAGCCCTTTCGGACCGGGCCTACTTTTGCATATCTTTACTATACACTAAATAATAATATAATTATTTTATGAATTCTTGTATAATTTTATTATATTTAATTTAGAGATCTGCAAACCAGCAAGTACCGGTCCGAACAGGCTTCGGACCAGGCCGGGCCTTGGATTTTTTTAAAAATATATCTAAATTTATCAATTTTATGTTGAATTTTTTATGTAAAATAAAAATATTTGATTTTATTTATAGAAACTAGACGCCATATGACATATGTCTTTTATTTTGAGTAATTATTATTTTAAAAGAATTAATTTATATATTAAAATAAATTCGGGCCTAGCCGGCAAAACTTTATTTTGGGCCATATCTTGCTTGAAAAATTAAGCCTGAAGCAGATCACTAATTTCTATATGTATGAAAAATAATTTTTTTTATAATAAATATACTAATATAAACACTATTCTAAAATCAGCTTGAGTCGGTTCAAATGGCTCATTCAGCCGCTCATATCGAAGATATTTTTTACGACTAGAAACTCGACTAGAGTGGTGGCTAAGCCGACTCGACTTAGCCATTTAACAACACTATATACAAGATAAAAGAAGTTTTGTTTAAACCTTTGACGAGGTGAATATTTTGCGCTCCTTAGGTTTGACCACCATCCCATTCGTAGCAGATCTATCAGGATAATCTTGATAAGATTTAAAGGTTCTAGGCTTGGCAGCATCCGGTAATTGACGGATCGTTGAAAAACCATATTTAGAAGGAGAAGGTCTATCCAATATATTATTCTTATTATTATGAGAAAACCCTGTTTTGTTTAATTTATCGTCGTTTTGGGAAAGGTCGGAAACGGGACTGCTGACACTGCTCTGTGTTTCAGTTCCCGTATTAAATAGACTTGCATTTTTTAGTTCCTTGGCCGATTCTGTTATAGGTTGCTCGCCGATATTGTTCGCATTTTGATCCAAATCTTGACAAGGCGAAGATCTGATTATTTCGCTATCCTCAAACGTGTCATCGTATTCGTGGGACAAACTTTTGTTTTCAATACTAAGTGTATACGATTTTGTAACGCAAGGGTTAATGGCGAGGGAATCGAGTTCGGTTGTGTCTATATCGATACCAGTATCAAGATCCTCTAACCTGTCTTCTTTCATATTAGGAAATTTATCTTGCGAAGGACATTCCCAATCGGTTGATTCGTTCAGAATTGTTTTTCTCTGTCCGCTCCTCCGTTTGGTTTGTTTGGCCGGATTGGTACAGCGTTTATGCTTGACATTTGAAAGGGAAGTCGAATGAGTCGACGAGCTATTTTCGTCATTTTTGCGCGACCTAAGGGTTCTGGTCGAATCTGCCGAAAGCTCTGTCGAGGATGTAGCAGAAGACCTAAGGCCGTATCTACTGGTGTTTTTAGTGACGAATTTATTGAGGTCTTTGCCCCTTTTGGAAGGCGAGGTGTTACGTGGTCTTTGGGACGAAAGAGTTTCCGGGGTTAATTTGTTACTTGCCAAATTTATATTTGATTTTTCTGGATCATCAAAATCGAGGGATTGGGTTACGTTACAATGAGGAGATACTTTTTCATGTTTTTCGATAATTTCGTGAGGGGAATCAAAATTTTCTTCATCCTTAGATCGAGTTTTGTCAACATGCCGATCAGCTCTAATCACTTCTGAATATTCGGTATTTACCTTTGTAACAAGATTGGAGCCCAAGAATGACGATTGATTTTCTACGGAAGAGCCCAAATCCATGGGAGTTTCAGGAATCCCGCTGCCTAAAAATATGCCTTTCAATTCATTTTCCTCGAGAATGACCTTCTTGTTCTTGCTCTTTCTTTTGAAGATCGGGGAATCGAGAGAAAGCGAGGAAGTCAAGTTAGGCGAGTTTTCGAGGCTTTTCAACCCAATATTCGATCTTGTGAATCTCCCATGAGAAGAGGTGGGAGTAGTTACGATACTGGATTTCTTTGTTTGAAACGAGGAATTAGGAGTTGTCGTAATCTTAGGTGCCTTCGTCGATTTCGAATGTGTGGTGGGTGGTATAAGAGGTTTAGCCATAGTAGAACCGTTTAAAATACTCTTTACCCTGACCCTGGCATTCTTCTTAGCCAAATCGGAGAGTTTGGACAAAGAATTTAACCTGAATCTAGCGTTAGAATTAATGCTTTTGGGGGAACGTTGTGAGGGCGTCGCGCGACCATTCATTATTTTAGTAGTGCTAACCTGACTGCCTCGAAAGTATTTTTTCGGGGAGGCCAAATTTTTGTTCATCGATTTATTGTTCGATTTGGAAATGTTTTTACTTTTGTTATTGAGCGTTTTGGTAGCTTTACGCATAATCACGACTTTACGAGCTTTAAAATTCGCGTTCGTTTTTCCTCCGACATTGAGGGCGCTACCGTTACTTAACCTGATCGTGGTCAGCTTGGGCCTGATTCCAGATCCAACTTTCTTCATTCCAGAACCGACATTTTTAGTTGGAATCGATCTCTTAAGAATGGACGAATTATTCAATCCCGATTTTTTAACTAAAAACGAACCACTTAGGTTATCTTTAAGAGGTGATTTTTTTTCGATTTTATTAGATTTATTAATAGTTTTACTCGCCTTCGCATTCATTTTCGAGGGGGGAGAAAGTTCTTCGTCGAAATTGAAAGGATCGAACCGCGAGGTTGATATGAACGAATGCCTATTGAATATTCGGCTGGGTTTTAAACCCGGTTTATTGCCATTATTCAGACTGAATTTCGGATAGTGATGATTGTTTTTGATAGAAATCGGACTCGGTTTTAACATCGGTGAAAGTCGACTATTCGAGGAGCAGGATTTTAGAGAGGCATAAGAAAAGGAACCCCATTTGTGAAGGGTAAGTTTTTGATTTGGTGGTAAGGAGGGTGATATATTTGAGGAAGGCATAGGCGCTTCCAAGGATAAAGCGTGGTGATGTTGCGAACTCTCTAACATTTTGCCATTAATGCGATAAAATATATTTTACAAGTGCTTAATTATTACATAATCATGAAATAATTTGAGAAAAGTTTATGGGAAATTAAATCTTCAGGCTGATCTGAATTTTGCTTTCATCACAAATAATTAGAAATGTGACATTTAGTCTAAAATATTCTAGGATTATGTATCATTTGTGGTATGTTTAGAGCTTAAATTTAGTCGTTAGATTGATTGGATATTTTAGGAGTTAGTCCTTTAAATATAAACGCCGTATGGTAGTCATCTGTATTAATTAAATTAATAAAACAAAATATTATAATGTAACTCGATACAAAATATTGTTGAAATCATCTTATTTTATAAAAAATTCGTGTTATATTTTTTTAAAATTAAATCAAAGCAACATGAAAACTCGCGATAATTATATTAAATTTAATTTTCAATGCGCATTAAATTGCTATTTTTAACAATCTTGAAGAATTGGGCATGTAAAAAAAATTTCTTTGTTATCGATCAGAATTTCAACGGAGAGTGAAAAATGGTGTACCAAAAAAAATTAATCTATTTTTGATAGTTTTCAAAATATAAAATTTCTTAATAAAAATTGATGAAATATTTTATACAATATTTCTTGTTATAGATGATAATGGTATTAGTTGTTAAATTCAATTATATGATTATATTAATATTTCTATCAATTTTGGACTAACCAACAAAGTTTTATTTGTTTTCCGATGAAATAATGCTATTTTTTTAAAAAAAATTAGTAACATTTTGCTCCCAAAACATGGCCAAAGTAAAGCCTAAACCATGATGAAAATTAGTGATCTGTATCGGGCCTAATTTTTCAAGCCCGGCCCGGCCCGAATTTTTTTATAAAACTTTTGCCGGCTCGGCCCGAACCCGATTTTTTTTTAAAAATTTACCGACCCGGCTAGAATTTATTTAAATATAGAAATTCATTTTTATAATTATTTAAAATAAAAGACATATGTTACGTTTAGTTTCAATAAATAAAATTAAATATTTTTATTTTACATAAAAAATTCAATATAAAATTGATAAATTTAGATATATTTAAAAAATATTCCAAGATCCGACCTGACCTGGCCCGAATTTTTTTTAAAAATATTAAGCCCGGCCCGGTCCGAACCCGATTATTTTAAATAGAATTAGGCCCGAGCCCGGCCCTAAGCCCGTTCGGGCCGGGCCTAACTTTGCAGATCTCTAATGAAAATAACCTTTCTCTAAAAAAAAATTTTATAGGAATATAATAAGAAAAGGTAACTAAGGAAAAGGCAGTTTTTAAGATTGAAATCAATTTTAATATTCAAATTTTATTTGATAAGCCCAAAATCGACCCAAATATTATACGAAAAAAATATAGAATCGGAAGTATAAAAACGAAGACAACTTTTTGAAAAGGAAAACATAAGTTTCAATTTATTAATGTCCGATCATACACATCATTAAGTTACAAAATGTAATAATTATTTTTCTGGAATACTTTAATCCGCAAATTAAATTATTAATTGTATTCGGTGGCGTATAGAAATTTCCTTCTATAATAAAAATGTCATGCAAGCTAAAAAAATAAAATTCCATATTCGTCAGATAATGTTTGGCAACTTAACCCTTATTCATAGTTAGCGCGAATTATAGAAAATACACTGTAATTTTATATTCTCCGCCTCGAATTTGTGGTAACTGTGAATGAGAGGTTACTCTGCATTATGAATGAATTCACAGTAGGCCTATTCAAAAACGAATTCGAATAATTATTTAAATTCGTACGAATAATAAAATCTACTATTTGTATTCGATTCGAATTATTCGAATATTTCGAATTATTTTTTTAATAAAATAAATTATACTCAAATATATTGACAAATTTTTTTATTACAAATTTGATTTTAAACAGAAAAAATTATAATAATATGTAATCAATAATCTGACAATAAATAATATATAATCAAGTTATAAACAAAATTAAAATGTATATTATTAATTTAATTTATAATTTAAGCCAATTTTTAAGGCAAAAAGTTTTTCTTTTATTTTCTTCCTTATATGACATGCGGTTTTTTGACAATAAATTAGTTCCAACTGAGAAAAGCTTTTCACTAGCAGTTGATGTTCCTTGTATAGATAGATAATCCCTTGTAATTTTCTAGATTCCACCGCATACGAATCATTCTAATAATGTTTCTAGTTTTAGAATTGAAGGATCTAAAATTTTTAAAATTTCTTTGGATATTAAATTAATTACATGGGCAAAGCATCGGATGTGCCCTATTTTTATTAATGGATATTTTAAAGAAAATGTATCAATAAATGTTTTATTATTAGTTGCATTATCTAAAGTTATATAAAAATTTTTATTCTCTAAATTATAAATTTTAATTATTTTAACAAAGGCTTTAAATATATTTTCACCTGAATGTGTTTCATTTATTGGACTGACATCCAAAATTATGTTATTTATTTAAAATTATCATCAATAAAATGGGCTGTTAGCCCTAAAAAAGGAACCTGTGTTGCTAGTCCAAATGTCAGATGAAATATTAATCTAACTTTTATTTTTATATATTTTTCCTTTACCAACTGTTCTTTATCTATATATTATACATGTGCAATTTAAGAGTATTGGAGCATATTGATTTTACAGAACAATCAAGATCACTTATAAAATTTTTAAAATCATTTGAATTAATAATTTTAAAAGGTATATTATATTTATCAATAATTTTAATAAATTATTCTTAAAATTAATTTTTTGGAAGAATTTGGTGTAGACTTTAAAAAAATGACATTTTTTTATTTTTTTTACTAAGGTGTGAATGAAACCTATTATAATGATTAATAAGAGATGTTGTTTTGCCTTTATATTTTATAATACTCTTGCAATGATTGTAAGCAGCCTTTTCACCGTCTTTAAGGATTTGATATTGATCCCATATGATTGCTCTCTTTTGTGAGGAAATTTTCTCATCTTCAACATCAAGCATAATTTCATCAGAAGCATTCTCCTCTAACATAATTAGGCTAGCTAACAATAATTATTGTAGAGATGTAATATATTTTTATATACCTCTGGTTTATGTAATTTTTAATATAATTTATTATGAGATTCAAAAAATAAACTTTTGTGAGATTCAAAAAATGTGGCAAATAAAAATTTAAATTTTAACTAGAAATTTTTGAATTTGTGCTAGAATTTTTATAAACACAAACACATCACCTGTCAGATTGACAGGTCAACAAATAGAAATGACAAATGTTAGATTTATAAAACAATTTATTAAATATTAGAGATAATTCGTTTTATTCGAATCGAATAAATGATTATTCGTATTCAGATAAAACAAATAATTTATTATTCGTATTCGTAATTATTCGATTAGATTCGAATTATTGGAATCGAATTATTTTTGAATATGCCTAATTCACAGTGAGTTTATGCATTTTTTTTACTCCGTGGCAAATTTGCGCTAATTGTGAAATCAGGGTTAGGCTAAAGCTTTACCAAACCTAAAAGCAACTAATAGTAAAAAAATGATCTAATCATCAAAATTTGGGAATTAACACCCATATCTGAGGAATAAAATTTTTATTTACATTTAACCTAAACCGAACAATTAAAAATTTTGTCGCCCAAACCTGAGCTTCGAACAGATCAGTTTTGATTAACCATGTAAGGTACCAGTATCCATTTAACGGTGTCAGCTATCCAAGTTAGAGTCTAGCAATGTTTCCCAACCATAAAATGTATTCTTCCGCCTATAGATAATTTGCTAGGATACAAACTTATAAATATTTAAATTGCATACGGCTCAATATTATTTTTTAGTGCTGTTATATATATTTCGTTAAAATACCGTGGCAGTCTCCATGACTTGTCTTATTTCTGAGAAGTTTAGCCGTCCATATAGCTCTAGGCTTATTCAAAAACGAATAGTAAATTATTGGTATCGAATTAGTTTAAACGAAAATAATTTACTATTCGTATTCGTAGGAATAACAAAATTTAGTATTTGTATTTGATTCGAGTTATTTCAATAATTCGTTTTTTAAAAATATTGTAAAATAATTCATATGGCATATCAATTTTGAACAAATTATTAGCGAAATTGCATCCTAATTTAATTTATAATGCCAAACCAATTTTTAAGATTTTCCTTAAAATTGATGATATTAAATTAGTTCTAACTAATAATTTTCACAAGTAGTTTATGTATATCTTATTTTAAAGACATCACCCATTAGACTGAAGGTTATCATCAATAGAAATGAAAAAATTTTTACTAAAATTTTCGAAATATTCGATCAAATTATTCAAATATTTACATTCGGATACAACTAATAAGTCGAATAAATGAATAGTTAGTATTATTTGTTTTATTCGTATTCGAACAAAAAGAATAATTTACTATTCGATTAAAGTTTGAACCTATGTCTAAACGGAATAAAAAGAAAGACTATTAAGATTTAGTATAAACTCACCACCCCCCCCCACCCGTATATTTGTTATAACTTTGATTTATGAAATTTGCAATGCAAAAGGAATCTAACAAGTTTTGATAAAAACCGACCGATATTCTTTTTTATGAATCAAACCGGAACCCGTACTGTTAGTTATATCTTAACTTGAACTGATATTTGCTACGTGTAGGATTTCTGTAGCAAGTAAACGAAACGTCGGTCTAACTAAATTCTTAAAAAAAACCTCGTAACTAAAATTCCTAAAATTACATGAGTTGACAAAAAAGGTATATTTTATTTTAAATATAAATAACAAAATTAATATTTAATAAGATATTCATATCATAATAAAATGAATAATCAATTATGTGATGAAACAAGGTATTTTTTATAGGTTAAAGTGGAGATAGCTTTTATAATATACGACATAAAACATATTGATGAAATTTTTTTTAAAAAAAAAGGTATTTTGAAGAAAAAAATAGGTTAGTTATGAGGTTTTACAATAGGACAAACGAAAACAAACAAATGTTTTGTTTAAGCGTGCATTTTTAGATGGTGAATAGTATTTTATATTTTTTTATATAATAAAAGCGAGACGTAATTATGTTCTAAAATTGGGTTAAAAAATGGCGATAAAAATATGGATCATAGAGAGATATCATAATTAATTGAAGTTTCGATATTTGATTCGTAGTAAAATGATTATTTAAATTGAATAAAAACGACATAACATATATTACAAAAGGCATTTCTTAGTTTAAAACAAATTTAAATCGATATTTAAGTAGAAACCGCCATTTTAAAACGAACAATATTCGATACGAATACACAAATAACCGTATTCGAAAAAATGAACCGATTAACCCCTCATTCACAGTTAGATATCTTGTATAGTTCGCCGCGAATTCGCGTTAACTGTGAATGATTGATAATTTAAATATGCGTCGAGGACAGAGGTCCATTACCTTTACAGGTTAATTTAAAAAATCGTATTCAATAAGACAATATATTGCTCTCAAGTAAGTATTAGATTAAAGGCCAGTGAACCACTAACGCAAACCGCTGGCGAATTTCTTATTTACATATTTGAAAAATATTTATTTTGATGCGCCAAGCTTTTACTAGTAAACAGCAAAACAAATTCCACCAGAATCTTAAAAACAATTTAGAGCAAGATCATTATTTGGTAATATGTGATTTTTCCAAAAATTACTCTTTCATACTTCAAGATGAAGTACAGATTTATCACTGGGCCACTTCCCAGATCACCCTATATCATTTTGTATATATTACAAAATTAATAATTCATTGAATCATATAAGTTATGTTGCCATATCCGAGTCGCTGGAACATACCTGCTTATTTCATTTGTTTCAAAAAAAATAAATAAACTTTCTAAAAAATTACTTTTTATCAGAGGCTAAATACATTTATTATTATTCCGATGGGTCCGCGGCCCCATATAAAAACAGGAAAAATTTCATAAATTTGTGTTATCATCACGTAGACTTTGCTATCCCAGCAGAATGGCATTTCTTTGCTGCTGCGCATGGAAAAAGTGCTTGCGATAAAATAGGGGTAACTGTGAAGTGCTTGGCTGCACGAGCCAGTTTACAACGACCATATGAAAATAAATGAAATCTCCTGCGATTTCTTCAAATTCGCTGAGGAAAATATAAAAAATATTCATTTTTCTTATACATACCATGAAGAATATCAAGAGGAGAAAGAATTTTTAAAGGTTCGGGTTTTAAATGTTCCATTCCTGGAATTCAAAAAATTCACTGTCGTGATGTTACCGTAATGTTTAATTTCTTAATATTAGCCTATAATTTAACGGTAATAATACTTAAATCATTTAAATCATCTGGATAAATAGTTTATTCAAGTTTATCCTGTTAGCTTATCACAAATAATTATGAAAAAATATTCCAGTGCTGTTCAAACCACACCACACCACAAAATATTTAAAGTCGAATGGGCGAGATATCAACCAATGACATAAAAGGGTATGTAACATGCTTTTATGATTAAGAATGGTGGATTGCCTATATTCTAGCGATAATAAGTGCCGATGTGGTAAAGGTAATATTTTTACACCTAAATGGACCTTCTAATTCCTTTTATTATCCTACATACCTGATATTCTTATTCTTCGAAAAATGATATCTGTCGTAAACCTTTTGACTACTACAGGAAGAACTTATAATTTAACTCGTGAAGAATCCGAAATGGCCATTTACAAATTAAATTTAAGGAAATCAATATAACTAAGCTTCTATACTCTATGTAATTTTACTATGAATTAATTCAATAAAATATTATCGAATAAAATAAAAACATCAACTGACACGTTTACAAAAATGAGGTTCTTAGCTATTTTAAATTACTTGCGCTAGCTAGCGGAAATTTTATTATTTGTATGGAATATTTAAAAAGGGTAGATTGACCTATATTTTCAAAAATTAAATTTTAAGCTATTTAAAATTATTAACGTCATCTAGCAGTATTTTTACTATAAGCATTTTTCCTACTTAAACTTTTTTTTTATCCCTCTGAAAATTTTTATTTGAACAGTTCTTGGTACTCTTTACATAATATCGAATGGAAAAAATAATTTATGCTAACATTTAAAAAAAAATTAATTATAAATTTTTGACCGTAATTTTAAAAAAATTTATAAATTAAAAATTAATTTTATTCATGATACGAGAGTTTACTTAGGGCCGTAAAATGAGCCATGATAGATAGATATATAGTGCATCTAATATTAAATTTATCCCAATTTTAAAAAATCATTTTTTTCGAAAAATAATTAAGCAATTATGAGACCCTATATCTCCGGTAGCAGAGTTAAGGGGCTAATATTTTGGATTCGTCAATTACAACACTTCATTAACTTATATACCAGATTTTAGCAAAATCTAAGATGGTCGGGTGATTGATTTGATATGGAATGACTCAATAATATCCTAAATGCATAAGAGTGGAAATAACAAGGATATACCATAGTAAAAAATATTTAATTTTTTATTTGGGTCATTCCATGATAAATCAACCTCGATTCGGCCGACCCCTTCGATTTTTTAAAATTTGGTAAGCAAATAAATTAGCCTCCTAATATTTATATTTTTGGGTTCAAAGTTCCAAAAATGACGAATTTTACCATATATCTTAAAAACTACATAATTATAAAAAACAAATTCAATATCAAAATTAAGTATAAAGATTGTACTTTTATATAAAAGAAATTTTTTTGATTTTTCCAATTTCCGATCATTTTATGTAATATATACGAACTAAATACGATTTTTCAGAATTAGCAGGACCTCCAAATTTTATAAAAAATTTACTAAACATTAATTACTAAACTCTTTCTTTATATTTATTTTAAAAAATCGGTCTTGGACACGGTCAGCTTCATTCTCAAAATCGATAAAAATGATAGTGTATAAATATTTCCTGAAAGGTAGCGTCTTAGTTTAAAAATAAATCAGTTTTAATGGTTTTTTTGAAGTATTTGATATAATTTAAAGGATTTTTCATCTTGCAAGTAAAAATAAATATAAATGGAAGTTTCAATCAATTATAGAAATTGTCGATTGATAAAAGAAATTCAATTTATTACATTATTTATATATATATGATAGTGCCCAAAAAAATGAATGAATTTAATACAACAAAATATATAGCAAGACAAGCTAAATTATTGGTAGTGCAATAGGGATTTCTAGCAAGACCTAATCCCATGGAAAAACTAGACGCACTTAAAATTGTCCAAGTATTTTATTATAGGGACGAAATAAGCTGAATCATGCCAAGCAAGAAATACTTTGTTTCGATTTGACCAAAAATGGAGAAAAGAATACCATACATATGGGATTAATTTTAGATAATTTGCAAGAAATTTATATATTTTTTAAAGAAATGAGGCCTAATGTTAAAATTTGTTTTTCAAAATTTGCCAACATTCGCCCGAAAAATTGCATACTCGTCGGAAGTAGTGGTAAACATAATATGTAGTTTGCAGCTACCATCAAAATTCTAAATAATGATCATTGGATCTAATTTACCCAATTTAACCAAAGATGATATGTTGCCATTTACACTTAGTAATTTGTAATCGGCCTTAACCATTTATTATATGGGCAAATGTGATCATTTTCCAAGGTCAAAACATTTACGCGAGCAAATAAAAATATTGTTTTGTTCTAAGGACATCTAATTTATAACCAAACAATGGCTATCAGTAGATAGAACCACTCAAACCATCACCAAGTCAGTAGATAAATTTATCAAAGCCTATTTT